GATGCAGAACATTTTCTTAATAAGCTTTGTTATGCCAATTGACCTAGACGTCCCCTGAAAGCATGGTCCCCAGACCCCTACCCCTGCTACTCTGTCCCTCAAGGTGTTTGACTGTATTCAGGAAACTTCTTAGCTTTGGTTTAGTCCAGCTGTAAGTGCATGAAAATTTTTCACTTAACTCCACAATGTTTAGTATTTAATTCCCCCCCCTTGAATCAAAGAGTAAATTTGCCCCTGCAGGCAATCATGCCATGCGTACTCTGTAACTTCCATATCCCCAGCATGCATGTCCTAGTTTGAGAAGCAGAAGAACTTTGCAGTTCCAAAAAAAAAAAAAATCCACAAACTGATGAGATTCCTTCACTTTCCATCCTGTCCAATTACCCCATGAACACATTAATATTTCTGCAGCAAAATCTATGAACAATCACACTACATGAGATAAATTTTAAAAAGACAGTTTCATATTCATTCAGAGAAGTTTTGTGTGAAGTTTGTGCCAAAGTTATAAAAAAGCTTTCAGTTTTCCAAACTTGTTGGATTTTAGAATTATAGATATGGAGCTGTGGACTGGTAATAACTACACAATAAAATGCAAAATGAGTGCTCTACACGAAAAAGTGATAAAAATCAAGAAGCTGGAGAAGAACATGGAGCAAAGCAGTGAGAGAGCTTAGTGAGGAGACAGGCACTGCGTTATATGAAAGGATGGGTAGGGAGGGATAGGTGGTGGGGGCGAAGGAAGAAGAGCAGAGGAACGGCTGTGGGGAGAGCAAGGGGAGCCTGAGACTGCTGTTTTTAAGTAGACGGCCTGTACTTGCAAAAGCTACGCACAGGAAGCAGCACATTTACGTGGGGAGAAAGCAAATGCAGAAGGCTTCAAACTGGAGGCTGAAGAACACTGGAGTGGGAAGCCAGCAACAGCTTTGAACATGAGACTAAATGGGCAGCTCCTGTCAGGAGGTGAGATGAGAAGGCAGAAAGGGACAGGAGCTGGTTGAATGGACATGGGAAATCTGGGGTGGAAAGGAGGAGTGTGCTGTCACAGTACAGAGAGAGCAATTAGGGTTATATAACAATGTATGTATAAATTTTTGTATAAGAGACTAACTTGAAATGTAAACTTTTACTTAAACTATAGCAAGAAACAAAAAAAAAAAAAAGAAAATCATACATCATGATCAAGTGGGACTCATATCAGGAATGCAAGGGTGGTTCAACATTAGAAAATCAATCAATGTAATTTACCACATACATAAAACAAAGGAAAAGACCACATGATCATCTCAATTGATGCAGAAAAGGCATCTGACAAAATCCAACACTCTTTCTTGATAAAATGTCTCAGCAAAATAGAAGTAGAAGAGAAATTCCTCAACATAATTAAGGGCATATATGCAAAACCAACTGTCAACAGTATTCTCAATAGAGAAAGGCTGAGGCCCTTCCCCTTGAAAATACAAAGAGACAAGAATACCCATTATCACCACTCTTATTCAATACTGTATTGGAAGTCTTAGCCAGAGCAATAAGGCAAGAGAGAGATAGAAATAAAGGGTATCCAAATCAGAAAGTAAGAAGTAAAACTATCCTTATTTGCGGATGACATGATCCTATACCTAGGAAATCCAAAAGAATCCACGAGAAAGTTTCTGGATCTAATAGAAGAATTCAGCAACGTTGCAGGTTACATCATCAACATACAAAAATCAGGTGGGTTCCTCTACACTAGCAGGGAGAACTACAAAATGGAAATCAAGAAAACAATACAATTTACAATAGCCCCCCAAATGATAAAATACCTAGGAATAAATGTAACCAGGAATGAAAAAGACTTATACAATGAAAACTACAAAACACTAGTATAAGAGACTAAAAATGACCTACATAAATGGAAAGACTTTCCATATTCATGGATTGGAAGACTTAATATTGTGAAAATGTCAATACTACTCAAAGAGATCTATAGATATAATGCAATCTAGATCCAAATCCCAACAACATTCTTTACTGAAATGGAAAAACTAATCACCAACTTTATACAGAAAGGAAAGAGGCCCTGAATAGCCAAAGCATTATTGAAGAACAAAGTAGGAGGCCTCCCACTCCCCAATATCAAAACATACTATACAGCCACAGTAATCAAAATGGGCTGGTACTGGTTCAACGATAACCAAAAAAACCAAATCTGTTGCCGTCGAGTCAATTCCGACCCATAGTGACCCCACAGGACAGAGCAGAACTGCCCCATAGGGTTTCCAAGGAGCAACTAGCAGATTCAAACTGCCGACCTTTTGGTCAGCAGCCAAGTGCCTAACCACTACGCCACCAGGGCTCCAACATACACATAGACCAGTGGAAGAGAATCAAAACCCCAGAAATAAATCCATCCATCTATGAGTAACTGATTTTCAGCAAGGTGTCCAAGTCCATTTAACAGGGAAGAAACAATCTCTTTAACAAATGGTGCTGGCAAGACCCACATGCAGAAAAATGAAACAGGACCCATACCTCACACCATACACAAAAACTAACTCAAAATGGATCAAAGACCTAAATGTTAAAGCTAAAACGATAAAGTTCTTGGAAGAAAATACAGGGACAAAACTATGGAACCTAGTTTTTTAAAAAAATAAACTATCAAACACAACTATTAATACACAAACAGCAGAAGTCAAATTAGATAACTGGGACCTGATGAAAATGAAATACTTATGCACATCAAAACACTTTATAAAAAGAGTGAAAAGACTACCTACAGACTGGGAAAAAAACTTTGGAAATGACATATCTGATGAGTTTAATCTCTAAAATATATAGAAAACTTCAACAACTCAACAACAAAAAGACAAGCAACCCAATTAAAAAATGGGCAAGGGACATGAACAGACACTTCACCAAAGAGGACATTCAAGGCACCAACAAACACATGTGAAAGGGGGGAAGGGGAAACGATTCTGTAAACAGTAGACACTTGCTATCTGGTGACGGAAAATATAACACCAAATGTGGATGAAGTGTGCACAGCATGACCAAGATAAATGATGTCACTAAGAAGTACACAAGAAAAAAGGACGTTTTTGGTAAATGCTATGACATACACAACTGTGCAATAACAACTAAAAAATAGGAATGTGGTTACATGTGTATGTATGTATGCCATATAAGTGTATATGTGTGTATATATGTGGGCATATACAGATGTATCTATAACCAGGTGCATATATATGTAAGTGTATACATCAATATGTAATCACGTATATAATAAAGTACATAGAGGACACAAACAGATACTTCTTAGACTTAACCAAACACCTCGTAGGATTGGTTTATGGGGTCTGAAGGCTTAGGACCTGCAGTGCAGTGAATTACTTAATATGGCCCTTCCAGCCATGGTCTTGTGACTCCCACAAAATGACTGGGTGGGCCTATGCAAATAAGGTGCTTGTGGCCCACCAAGGGGACCGGACAACCTGCTAATAATGCAAATAAGGTACATGGAACCTTTGTAGAGGATTGGTCAGTTTTGCCATCCTGCTAGGTTTAAAAAGAGCCAAATACAGACAGCAAGGGGGGACCTCACTATCAATAAGAAGAGTCAGGAGTGGAGCGCAACCTTTGGACCCAAGGTCTCTGCGCTGAGAACCTCCTAGACCCAGGAGTCAGACAGAGCTGTACACCACAGATGACGAGAAGCAGTAGCAAGCATGGCAGAGTCCAGCGGTAGAGAAACAGTAGCAGCAGAACCAGAAGAGCAGTGCAAGATGGCACAGTGGACTTCCTGGCCCACAGAGTGTGGTGGCTACAGTAGGTGTGCCAACCTATGGAGTGAGAGAGCTGAGTGCCTTCAGGCAGTAGGCTTGCTGGTAGAGTGGGGTGCCTCCAGGCACTTGTTGGCAGAGCTAGGCTCACAGAGTGAGAGAGCTGAGTGCCTTTGGGCAGGAGGCTTCCTGGCAGAGTGGAGTGCCCCTGGGCACCTATTGGTGGAGCTAAAGAGCTTTGTAACATTTGCCCAGGCAGGGCAGAGGCCAGGCTGAAGGCCAAGGGAGAGGCCTGCCAGCGGCAACAGCCAAGAAGAAGCTGTCCTGATTGAAGAACTGTATCCTG